CCCCCCAACGACACATACACATCACTACCAAAATCGCCCACACTCTCTGTTTGTTACACAAAAACTGTGAATTCAACCCCACAATGCCCCCCACCCTATTCCGTTATATACATATAAAAGGAATATGGCCGTTCTATTGTACAGCGGTATGAAATACAATTACAGTGCCATTCATTACAACGCAGAGTGAAATCGATTTCGATCAATATAAGTCCACCATGTCTATTTCAACATGCCATAATTGTCAGTAACAGATGAAATCAACAACTCTGAAATGAAATTAACATTTGAATGAGAAGCTGTTGATTTCAGTGAAACACCATACATGTCATGGCGTTTCGTACATGTTTATGATGGAATTTAAACTATTAACTTACCTTCGCTGGCTCTTAGTAAAATGGCGTCCGATCAAAAGGAAGAATACTTTGAAATGAGTATATGTTCACCTGAATCTCAAGGTATTTCCAATGTAAATCCAATCTACAGATAGACCTATAGTGTTCGGTTACACACACGCACTTGAACTACGGTTATTTTCAATAGAAATTTCTACCGTTGGATTTATTTATAGCACAGTATAACAACCGCATACGTCACTCACCTGTGACAGAGCTGATCTAACCTGCAATAAACCTAAGCACTTTTCTATACCACTCACCTGTGCGGGGCCCAATTGGGGAAATGTTGGATACATTTGAGCTTTAAATACTATTCATTGGTCATATCGATGTGTACACATGTGCGCGGCACAATTGGGGGACATTTTCTATACTGTTGCAAATGTGTTCTGATACATTTTCCCCCCGGAAACATTCAGATTTTGACTTTATGCTCTCCTTGTTATCCTATGTAAACATGTAAATGGAGTGGTGGTTTGTAAGGCACTCAGCGATTGATTAAAGGGTCCCTGTGTACTGGTACAGGGCACAAAAGGGAAATATGTGATTATCTGGTGCCTTGGATGGGTTGATTATAATCTACTAATGATTGAGGCAGGATGCAAATCATAAGTGTATCTATCTTAAAAAACCCAGAGTAGACGGGGGAGAACCTAGGAACCATTCGCCTAATTTATACTCAAAAACGTGCTTCACAAATTGTGCCTAATCATTAATGACGTCAACGCTTATGTTTTTCAGTTATAAGACTATTTTTGACGTATATGTAAATATCTTGCTATATAACCCTATCTAGTAACCGATACGATGTCAATATATGTAAATAGAACTGTCTAGGTTCATATAGCCACATGTTTATATATATATATATATCATAAATCCGAAAAATGATCCTTACGGACGAAGAAATATTACAAAAAGAAAAATTTCTCAACAATGAGTCTTTAGTACTTTCATCTCTTCTAGGAGATTCTTCTGACTGTTTATTTGAAGTATATGTTGTGACGTCATAATATTAGTATAACTAGTATATCTAAATCCTAAACAAATAGTACTCTATGCCTTAAGACTATAGTTTATGTATTTATATTGCTGTGATGTCATTATGGCGGGTACGTCGCTATAGCGAACTAATATGTGACGTCATAGTTTATGACGTCACAACATATACTTCAAATAAACAGTCTGAAGAGATGAAAGTACTAAAGACTCGTTGTTGAGAATTTTTCTTTTTATAATTTATATATATATATATTCACCTAAATAAAAATCCTTCGTTGCAATTATAACGTCACGCGACCACAATTGGTACGCTACCCACATTAGAACACTTTAAAATGATATTTGTTTATTTTCTCCTGATAATATAACCATAGAGATAATCATCAGCTTTTCAACTAATATTTGTTTTGCTTATAGCCAAACTTTATTTCAAAGCAAACTTGTCATAAATTAGAAAAAAATGACGTACGTTGGCGATGTTTTGGAGGATTCTGAAAGATTAATTATAGACATGTTTAAATGTTGATTTCTGGTCCTTAATTATAACCGGATTATATAAAAGTGTATATATAACATTTGTAGTTCAGTATGGTATTTCTAAAAACGATATATTCTGTTGGAATCGACACATCAACTAGTAGAAATAAAAACAAAGTGCATAGCCTGTGATATGGTGTACCTATTTGGGTACTATTCATGGCCGAAAAACGGACGAAATCTCACTCCGAGTTAAGCGTTCTATCTTTAAGAAACAAATCACATACTTTAATGAAAATGAACCATCATGTGGCAGTCTTTGTCAGAAAATCAAGATACATTCTAGATACAAAATCTGGATTTTTAAATTTCATTGAAAACTGTCAAAATTATGGTAGCTTGATGTTATTTATGAAATGATATTGTTTGATATTTAAAAATTGCGAGGACAAGGTACTGCATTTGGCAGAGAACATTGTGACGTTACGTGTACAATTGAAGTGACGTCATAAAGAGAACATTGAATTGCTGCTTTTAGAAACACGTAACACCGAGTCAATATTACAAACCACCTACCCCCACGTGATTATGATCCAGCCAATTAGGATATAGGGAAAGGTTGGGTCATCTTTTATTATTTTTTCATATTATTCCCGACAAGTGATTGGCCAGAAGTGCATCACGTGTCCACCGATAAAAACCGGTATTGACTTGAAGCACGTGATTTTTGTTAAAGAACTGGGTGTTTCTAAAAATAGATTGATGACGTGTCTTCAAACGAACGCACCGTCCCGCTTCCGTAGTTTTTTGCTGTGTTTATTTTCAGATTGCTAACAATACTGTTTTGAAAATAATAAAACAACTGTAACCTGTAGTTACTTTGTGGACCTTTGAATTCGTGGATTAAGATTACCAATGAAATCAACGAAATTAAAAAACCCACGCAAATTAGCGATTTCACAGTATATAACTATACAAGCTTAACGTATATCTGATTCATTATACAGCGAAACCTGTCTACTGTGACCGTTGAAGGAACCACGAAAAAAAGTCACAAAAGGATGATAGTCTCTCAATACAAGACAACTAAAGTGAGACTTTATGATCACATTAGACAGAGATTCGTTTAATACAGGTGGCCTCGAAGACAGGTTTGTGTATGAAAATATGTTCTTGGATCTTTTTCCAGCTTTATATAATTCATAATCGACAATCCTGCCATTTAGATGCTTTGGTGTTACTATAAATAACAAGAGAAGTTTATTCCACTTTTCAAATCTCCTTTTCCGTACGCATCGAAAAGCATTGTGTTTTTCTTGCGTGTCTTCACATGACCTAACTTAAGAACCAAGTTTAACAATTCCATCATAAAATTGGATTAACGTCTCACTATCTATGTTTACTTTGATAATAGCTGAAGGATGACTTCCAAATTAACTCGGCGATATTTCGCTACTATACAGTCTTTTTATTTTGAAAGATGATTATCAATTATGGGCTCTTGTTGAGGTGAATATTCGTAAAGATTAATATCGCTTTCTCGGGTTAAAATAACCACAAAATCACCCCAAAAAAGTCCATAAGCTACAAATGCTAAATTATATTTAAGCCGTTAAAAAATATAGAACGTATGGAAATTGTCAGAATCAAAATATTGCATTAGGCAGACAGCGATATTACGTTACAAATGACCTGACGTCATAAACTGATTATTTATCTGCAAATGCAAAATCGAGTCAATATCACAAATTACCGGCTTCCACGTGCTTATGGTCAAACCAATCAGGATGTACATGTAAGGAAAATGTGCGTTATCTAATGTAAAACATTATTGTCTGTTGTCCAGTATAGAAGATTTAAAATGGGAGTGCCAAAATAAAATAAAATAAGAAACACCTTTTAAAAAGTTTTTAAAGGCCGAGTTTTCATGTATGCAAGTCTGCAAAAGTTTTGTATTGCAAGCATTACGGTGCTAGTGGTTCAACGGGAGGCAACTCGTAACTAATATGTCTCGATAGGTAAACAGATCACATAAACATCAGAAGCCTGAGCCCCACGCCATCTTGCTGTCACCCTGGTAAATTAATAGCCGTTTCGATTTCTACCGAGAAGGCTAGGTAGAACTTCTCTTTAGCTCATTCGATAGAGCGTAATTATCTGTCATTTTTCTCTTTTTTTTTCTTCATTTAAAGTTTTGATTTTCTGATGAATTGAATATTAAACTGTTCATTTGAACAAAAGTTTTCCTTGTTTAGAAATGTGATAGGATATCATTTTGTCGTACCGTGCGACTTTTCGGAGATTTGTTTCATTTTATTTTCTTTTAATTTTCAATTCAGTTCACGAGCAATATACACGAGGTAGGCAGATAGATATTGCTTCAAATTGATTAAAGCTATATCAATTTTAATTAGATAGGTACCATTTATTAGTAGTGAAAACCAAAAAAGACTGCGTCATTTACCGTATAGCTGGATAATTCGGTGGGGATGATATATTCGCGATTTCGCAGGGCAGTACGTGATCGAGAAAATATGATCCGCAAAATAGTGCGACAAGCGTGAAAATGAGCCGTGATAATAATAATCGTAATAGCGAGCGCGTGACGACTCATATACATCAAGAGTATAAAACAAGATGTTTAAAAATAGATTATATCACACATCTAATGGTTTTGTTAATAATTTCTTAAAAACAAAATGCACTTATTTTTTGTTGCTGGTTTTACTCTTACATAGTCTATTCATTTGACCATTTCACACCCTAAATACCGAATGTCCAATCTCTGTGCTTATAAACCGCAAACATTTAAACTGTTGTTTATTCACATGTCTGGATCGCAAACTTATAATCCGTGTAAGTTGAATTTTGTAGTTTTTAGTCAAAATCGCGAAAATTAAAGCCTGCGTAAATTACCCGTTATATGATTTATGAAATGTGTTCCCTTTCGGCTACCATTCCATTTTGTGTACCCTAATGTAAATAAAATCAAAACAAACCCTGCTAGTGGCACACTTTTGTCTGTGTATAACTGCGGGTTGTTTACAGCCGACCAAAGTATATTGTGTTTATTTTGTTATTTTGCTTCTTTTACATTAAACAGACCACTCTACATACTGTTTGCGGATGATAGCCGCATATTCAGTATGAGATAAGTGTTGAAATTTATTTTGTTTTGATAATGTTGTCATCTTTAGTTTTACTTACAGTTAACGTTAAAAATAACGTCTACGTTATGTATGTATAGATACAGGTAGGTAATGTGTTGACTGTAAGATATGAAACTATTTCTCAAAACAAATCTTACACGAGTCGCACTAAACCGAGTATACATGTACATCCATCACATGATAGCACTGTCTATATCTGGCGTATAATCAAAAACGCTTAATCTTAACTTGAAATGCAAGCTGAAAACCCGAGCTCCCACAGCTGTCTGTTCATTCTCTTTTAAAACACCGTCCCGACTCAGATTGCAACGTTGGGTATTTCTAACAGAGCGCGTAACAAGGTTTGAGCTAAAAAATGGCGAACATTGTAGTAAGTTGTGTCTTTCTGTTTCTTTTATTAGCAATTTTTGTTAATTGCGATGTTGATGACATCACAACTTCCCGCCATCTCCGTCTCATCCATGTTGAAATTGACATGCTGACGTCACTTTTGACGAAGAAAGAGTTGGCAAGGCGACAGCTTCAACATTGTGTCACTTCGTTGGAAACTCGCGTCAACGACTCGGTCAGATTGATCCAAAACGAAGAAATAAACATCCGTAAATTGAGGTCAACGTTACATGAGCTGAAAGTGTTGACAGAAAAAGAAAGGGAATTGTATCAAAACATCACTGAGAAAATGCGAGCGTTGTTTCCGCATCGGGTGTTGCTCCGGGGACCAAGAAATACCGCTGAAATGCTGGTAGAACTGGATAATATTTTAAGTCGATTTACTGATGTATTTGCCGAACCCGAGATGGATGAAGTGTCTGCTGAGTGTGGTCCAGGTCCCTGTTTTGGTGAGTTTGTTTGCTTGCTTGTTTGTTTGTTTGTTTATTTTGTATTGTTTACGGCCCATCGACAATTCGAGTCATTTAGGGTCAAACAACCATGTAGAAATATACATTCACAAAAATATATGTATGAAAACCAGAAACAAAAAGGTTAAAATGTGAAAGATGTCAAAATATATCAATAACAAACGAAATGGTTGTAAAATATATCAAAACTTATTTAAGAGATTAATTGAATGTAAATAACCCCTTTCTTGATTGCACAGAGACTATATCAACTAACTGTTTCAAAGAAGGTATATCATATAATCTGTCACGTATTTGTTTGAAATCAGCGTATTCAATCATAAAGTGTTTAACTGTAAATGGTTGATCACATACATGACAATAAGTTTGGTACTCCTAACATTTGATCAACATGTGATTGACCATTTGACGATGTGTTAAAAGAATTTATTGTTCGAGAACGTTAAACAATATTTCTTACTCAGTTTCAGTTATTTGGATTTTCGCATTAATACGGTATAGTTAATCACTATGGCGTTTCTGATAATGTCTTAAATCAAGCATTGGAATGACTCGGTTTTATATTGATGATAATAATCTACACGTTTCTGTTCAATCAATTTCCACTATACGCTTTAGCACATATAGGAAAATAGTTTTGAACGGCTCTGTCTGCATACCATTATAAATGTTAAAAAACGATGCATGTCAATCACGAAACATGCGTTGAAAATAAAAGAGATAATAATAATTTATATTCTTTGTGGCACTATTTGGTTCAAAAGAAAAAACTGGGGTACCAATTAGTGTAATAGTATTTTTTTCCGGGAAATACACAATGTTTTCTATAGTCACCTGTTCTGTCAGGAAGCGACCACTTGGGATTTTCGGTCAAAAATTAAATTCAACGTCGCTTCATGATTGGTCCCCGATTGCTCAAACTGTTTGGCGGAAAGATCCGAACAGTTTCCGATTGGAATAGAATTTCAACTGTGACGGTTCGTGCTAGACTTACTTATAAAAATATCATTTTGATACGTGGATCTCTTTAATCCTCTTCTTCGCATTACAACAGCAGTTTATTAAAGACATTCTTAAAACAGTTTTCTTAATGCTGGTACTGATCGTCATATATTCCGTGTAAAATAATTCAGGTAAAACGTCACGCAAAATGTGTGTTTTATTAAGATAGAATGTGTGATTGGTGACGTGTGCAAATACAGTGTTCATTATTTAGTCCTATGCCGTGTATCCCAGCGTTATAATACCTGAACCACTTTCTACCCCATGTTAGAAGTAAATAACACATATTGGTTGGAATTGAGCATATGCATGTGTGTATATGTAACGTGATATTGGGTCGAATGCTTTCAATCAAGTTACAGTAAATATGAAAAGACATTTTATGTAAGAACTATGCCTTTAAAGCGGTATACATATCACTGGAGCTAGATGGCAATGGTAGATAACATAATTTGTCAGATAATTACCTTAATTGGCGACATTTGATATAACAAACCTATTCTGACTCGGCCAAATGAGAGAACCCGCACCCGTAGCCTTAACATGTACAATAATGCCTTACTAATGTTCTTGTTCATAAACGTTACAGGTAATTATCGGTTTTAGTTTTGAAGTTGAAATATTGCGCGTATGGATTTATCAACATGGGCGAAAGCCCTGTGAAGTATGCTCGTCATTACGTGTAATGCACCCATGTAATCTGATATATTATCTGTGGTGCCCTCTCGTTGACTTTATATTTGTTTCTACACAAGAAATTCTCTACATTTTAATATGTTTACATAATCAATCTATTTTGTATTCATCTAAAGGGCCTGTCACACCTAGCCGCTTTGGGTTGCCGGAGCAATACTGGAGTACGGCGATTTTCGGGGATCGGCACTAGTACGGCAGCGCAACGGTATCAAATCGCTAAGAACGGTAGTACATATCGTCAGCATCGTCAGCACATTGACGAAAAAATAAGCAACGGCAGGCGACGGTAAACTTTTTTGAACTTCCTCAGAAATGCGGCGTTGTGCCGGAGAGAGTAACGGGACTACAACGACAGTACAGAGATAGTACTCCGGTATGACTTTTCGGAGACTTTCCGGTGGCCTCAATGTGTACCGTACAGGTACCGATGTGATACGTAGTACTACCGAATACCACCAAAGTAGTACCGATGCCTTCGGTATAACACTGGCGGTACATCGGTACCACTAAGGTGCCAGAAAAGTGGCATTCGACAGCACATCGGCTCTTACATAGGTAGGCATCTGTATCACAACGGAAACGCCGGTACTACATTGGTATTAGTAAATGCTACGGTCAATTTTGCAAGTGCTTTCTTGCCGGAGCTCTGCCTTAAATTAATTTCTTGTTCCGTTTTAGTCCCAGCGAGGAACATCGGTAGTGTGTAACAGGCCCTTATGCTTTAGTCGCATTTGCGACGGCCGCCGGCCGGGAAGTAGGAATCGGCCGGCTTCCCGGCGTTTCGGGCGCCGGAAAGTTTTTTCCGACGTCTTGGATTTGCCGTGAGTATGGTCATATTACAAACGGGCATCACACAGACACCGCAAACAATTTGCCGAATTAAATCGAACGGACATCTGAAGGATACCGTAGGAAGCCCGTAACACTATCGCATGGCTATCAGACGATGGCCGGGCTGTCGTACGGTAGCCGGAAGATGTTCGTGTGACGGACGGGATCCGTACGGGATAAGTACATGTACGTAGCCCGTACAATATCTGCATTTGATGCGTATATATATGGAAGCACAGAAGTCAACACCTAGCTCCTCTGTGAGAAAATGGCGCCTGCATATGCCCGTATGTGTGCTGTTTGAGGACATGGGGCGGCTACCTTGCGATTGCCTTACGGCACCCGTCCGGATATCGGGCGGTCTAAATGATCTAAAATTGTAAAAAAAACAAACCAAGATAACGGAACAATGCCATTGGGAGCCGTAAGTTAATCTTACGAAATCCTTGTAAGATACTTACGGGGGATTGTCGGTAAGGTGCCGATGAGTTTGGGTAAGAAAAAATCGGGCGGGCACGGGCAACTTTTATTTCCGCGCTAAAAGCTCCTGGCAACCCGTGCGGCGTTTAATATATTATAAGAAGAGTATATGGTTATGTTTCTCTTTCACACAGAGCCTGTGACTCCAGCGCCACAACTACAGACAACTTTAGACCTGTGTGCGAATCATCAGGATTGTGAAGTCTCCTCCTTTGCTGTGACTGAGAACAATGACGTCATCGGCTTGCTGGATGGAAGTGTTGTCCTTTTCTCCGGACAGGACGGTTCTCAGCTGGCTTCCTACAGCTTTGATTTTACGCCTGAGAGAATGACGTACCAAGATCACGAAACGTTCTACGTGGAACACACTCCGCGAAATGACCGCGAAATTTACCGGTACAACGCCACATCCCGACAACTGACGCTGCTGACGTCAATTTCAGACGGCGTTTCTACTTACGGCATGGAATATCTGGACGGAATGCTGTTCATAGGTGGGAAATATGGCCGCGGTATGTTCGTGTTTTTACTTGGTCAGTCTCGCATGGTTAACATTTTTACTTATATCACCAACATTGACCAGTACCATAGTGTCTATATCTGTCCGACGGAGCTCGGGTCAAAGTACGCACTGTTTACGGGTCGAATTGTCCGAAACGATATGATCCTGATAACATCTTCGGGGGAGAGAATCTGCTCGATACCGACAAGCTATGAATACACGATACATTGCGGGGTCGTGAGCAGGGACGGCACGTTCTACCTCCCGGGACACGGGGAGATTGTTCGGTACAACAACAGGTGTGAGCCGACTGGAGCGTTCTCCCTCCCTGATGCGGATAGACGTATTTCGCGTATTGACTTACAGAATGGTAAATTATATGTACACCAATATAACGGTCCGTTTTCTATTTATCAGATCTAGATTCTAAAACAAAAAAGTTTCATAAACGTGTTTGCAGTGTACCCCTTCACCTTAGTCTCATCTTTTTCATCTAAAGCATTTAAAAAGACACATTTTGAGATTACGACAGAAAAAAATTACTTAATTATTTTGCTGTGAATTTATGACGTCATTTCATTGCTTTCGAAGATGTCAAACAAGAGTATAGAAAAACATGTTATAGACTAACCAAAAAGTATCATAAATTGACAAAATACTAGGATTTGTTGGCAGTTGTGACGCGCCAATTGGTGGAAAACAACCAATTTGTGAAAAACAAATCATTTTGAAAAAATCTCAATATGTGAAAACACCCAAAACGTGAAAACATCTCAATATGTGAAAACACCTAAAACGTGAAAACAACTCAAGGTGTGGAACAAATCAATATGCGAAAACGTACCACAGATTGGCACGTCATAATGCGTGCTACCAGTATTGTGATATTAAACTCCTAAATAACATTATTATCTATCAGTGGAGTAAAGTAATACAGTTATTGAACACCTGACACGTACTAAAAACACGGATTGACTACACTCGGGCAACTTTGAGTACGTCGTTTCCTTGATTCCGGAACAAAAGTCTCAAATGAGGGGCTTGCATACTTCTAGAATGAAGGTAAATCAGTAGTAGGCCAACTCTGTGGAACTGAACGATTGGTAAATGTGGACGAAAATGGCTGAAATTTTACATTCTTTATGAAAAAAGGGATATCTTCTGACAAGTACCCTCTCGTTTGAGGCGCACACAAGGTTGGAGACTATCTGTGTTTACCGCAAGTACCCATGCCCCCTTATCACGTGACATGCGAATCGCTATCCCGGTCGAATCCGGAGAGAGAGAGAGAGAGAAACTGTCCCAAAATTGACGGACACTATCCTTAAGCAAATTTAACAACTTAAAGGAAGATAACAGATATTATGCTATCGTATAATAATATTTATTTGTTATTGCATATTAATTATAATTGTATGCAGTGTGTTTCCAATAGATGTGTGTTTATAATCCTCGCAATTAAAGACATTTTGAACCTGCTGTCTTTTGTTTTGGAATATACTTATTATCGTAGAAATCAATCTACTATACTGTGCCTTGTTGATTTAGATCTTAAGAGGATGAAAAGGGGTCCAGTTAATTGTAGAAATCTTTGAGAAAATGTTACCTTATGATTTAAAACTTCGTTTCAAAATCAAGCGATGTACAATACTTTACATGCAATCAACATAGTGCAAATTCAACAATACATTTAAAAACATAATTACTAAATAAATGCCGACTGGAAGTCCCCATTTTTAGTCCCGCAGTCACAAATGCTGCTAATGGAATCTACACCTGCATGTATTATACCTTGAGTAAACTCCGTCAAATTTGACAAATCTGAGGCCATGGCGGCCCTGTTAGATAAATAATCGAAAGTTCCAGTAGAGTTTCCAGTCCCATAACACACCAATATACCAAATTTGAGAAAAAATTGTCATTTTTTACAAAGGAAATTGTTAATACATAGCACAACAAACAGATTACTTTTTTCGATAAATATTCTCATGAATTAAAAGATTACAGCTAGTCAGACTTGCATATAATTCTAGCTAAATTTGCGGTATAACTGTTGAAATGTTGATAGATAATGTATTAGGACACATTTTGAAACACCACAGTGACATTTCACTTTATTTACAAATGCCTTATGATCACTATAGGGATGATAGCAAAATAAAGATTGCCACAATAAACTATAAAAGTATCACTGCCAAACGTGGACAAATAAGGACAAAATGTGGACAAATGATGACAAAATATGGACAAATGATGACAAAATCAGGACAAAACGTAAACAAATGAAGACAAAATACAATACAGAATCAACAACATCTGCATAATTTTACATATACAAAAATGATTATTTTGTATTTGTTTTTTATATTTTGAATAAGTTAAGTCTCAAAATAAACCTTTTATATTGATTCTATTATCTATATTTCTATTAATATAACATTAGTTTCAAACTACTTAAAAAAAAGAGTTTCAAGTACAACCCTTAAAAATTAAAAAAAAAAAGAAAAAAAAAAAAACATTATAGAAAACATTCCGATGATCGTATAAAGTATTCTATGCATTAAAGAAAAAAAGAAATACACCAAAGACATCGACGAGTCGAACCCGCGTTCACACACCCCGCACACTAATGTTCTACCACTCATCATGCGGACCTGGGTTAAGAGCGGATACAGAAAGTGTTTGTTGCTCCGATATCGATAGATGATAGTGACGTCACTTTCGACGACTCTGACGTCGTCTAAGCTTCCCATACGACTCTGACAAGCTTAGACATTGACGACACACTCTTCATCACCGAATCCCAAGACAAGCTCATCCAGCAACCTTTACCGAAGCCGCACAGATACAGTAACAGAAAGAAAACAACAAAAGAGGACGACATGCAATCAGTAACAATAGATACCGCATCAAGAAACAGCACAGACAACGCATGTACAGACAAAGACACGTACATAATATACACACCAGCACACTACCCTGTAAGCATATTGTCCGATTAGATTATGAAATCACTTACCTTACTCTATTATTATATCATTAGCTAATGTATTATTATTGTTAATTGGCTTCACTTTTATTGGGTAAATGTACACTGAAATGAGATTTTCTTTTCTGTGGTGATGTTGTTTCCTGTTTTTTAGGAGCCACGGTAGTCCAGTGGTAGGACGCCGGGCTCGTGACCGAATGGTTGCGGGTTCGCGCCACGGCACGGCAATGTGTTGTATCTTTGAGCAAGATACTTTACTCTGCTTGTTCCAGTCTTCTCACCTGTAAATGAGTATGTGGTTGGGCAGTGCTATACTTGTTGAATGCTATCTGTTATCGCCGAAATGGCAGCTCCGGCTGTATGCTCCCCGGGGAGTTGATAAATGTATTGGCTGGTTGCAAAGGCCCTATAACCGCGGATAATAATTTGTGAACCGCTTTGAGACGACCTAAGAACTAGGTTGTGATAAAGCGGTATATAAGAACCTCCAATTATTAATTATTATTATTATTATTTTCCTGTCTTCCAAGGGGTTCACAGGTCGAGGGAGCAGTGGTGCGAAAGTCCTGGAGAGAACATCTGAAATCACAAGCAAAAGGCAGAAACAGGGAGTTAATTCCGTCAGTAATACAAAATTGAAGACGTCACACACAATACATACCCTGTATTGATATCATGTGTAGTGTTGTCGTAGTTTTAGGGGGTTGCTAAGGCCGCCATCTATGCAACGGATCCAAGATGGCGGATTTCCTTTACAATAAGAGTTAATAGAGTCTGTAATTTAATCTGTTAGTTCTTTGTACAAAAACAAATATGTACTGTCTGTGTAGTTACAATAGGGCTATGATCACTGACTGCTTTACCTGTACTGGCTTCACTCGAGAGCGGTTACAACAACGGAAATATAGGGGTAGTGGGTTAGTGGACCACCACCTAGTTTTCAGGAACCATGGTCTAATGTTCGGGAGCCGTGGCCTAATTTTTGGGAGGAAGGTCTAATCTAAAATAAGGTGTTATGTTCCTGACAATAAGGCCATGTTCCTGAAAACTAGGCTATGTCCCGATGATTTAGACATGGTTTTAAAATGTAGACGATGCTCCACTAATTTCGACTACGTTACCATAATTTAGGCCATGTATTTACAACTTAGATGGTACTTTATTAGGCCATGAGTTTGTAATGTAGGTTGTGTTCTGTAAAGTTAGATGGCAGTTTCAGAAAGTAGACTGTTTTTTAAAACTAGATGCTAAAAAAGAGAAATAGGCCATAGAATCGATTTTTTTTCTAGAGTGTATGTGTCTCCCAGTGAACGTTACAACAAATTAAACGTGTAACTTTTTTGTCGGTAATCTGATGTTCATTTGTCGACCTATCATAGGAAAGACGCAATACAGTCCATTTGGCAGGTAAGTTGATCATATTTAAAATGTGCCATACATTATATTGCCAGTTAAAATAAAGCAGACACAAACGTTGAACTAATTTTGTGAACGTTTCTTTACTTATTCATTTCCGTATTTTTCGACCGAAACGGTAAAACAGTATATATATTTGTAATGTAAAGAGTCCGGCACAGAAACTGGTCACATTCGTCTGCTGGATAACCTACTTCTTGTCAATGAAGTAGACATAAAACCACTCAATCAAGCAACTGGTCAGAAAATGACGCCAATCAATGACAACAAGTTATAATTCGAAACGATGTAACATTTTAACGTTATTTACAGAAGCATTATTTTTTCAATATGGTTATTTAGACGACACAATATTTATATAACTAGCGAATCGGTTCATTTCAGTGACAAAAAAATAATATCTAACCTGTAGTAATTATTTTTTAAAAAAGTTCAGTATTTAATCCGCGATGACAGACAAAACCCAAGTGTCACGACATTTCCAGAGTACTTTGCTCAGCACCACCCGGATAACTCCGTACCGTACGAATAAATTCAATTCTTTCGTTAACGTCAGGCCTTACGGCGCATCAGTTCACAAATTAACATGTTCATACATTACATAATACTCTACAACACGACATCTACGTGAAGACTTGTATTTTATAACTCAATCATTAAAATGTATAACGCAAGATGCGTGGATAGTTTTTAGTTATCTGGGCTATTTAGACCACAGAAACTATAGCTATGGATCTAAAATTCTGTTGGAGTTTTGCTTGTAATCTCATCAGTGATATAACTACGAATTTGTGGGAGAATCTTGTGATGCCCGATTGCAAGTTTGATGCAAATGTTGTTCTATTTTCTTGAAAATGTACTCAATGTTTATTAGTACTTTTGTGATTAACTTATTTGTATGTATGTATTTTAAGCAAAATTGACATGTGACACTTTAGAAAACAATTTGTATTGTATTGTATTGTACTAAAATGTGAATTTTGACATGCTAAAAATAGCACGCACGCCAAATCACAGCGTGTGTAACATAGCTCGTATAGATAAGATCCGATGGAAAAACATGCACATATATAAATGTATTTACATGAAGTTCCTGTACCAAGGTGTTTGTGATATCATCATCGAGCGTTTGAGATTGATTCGTATTGATAGATGGATAGTACATTGGAGTAAAACATGCATATATTACATGTAGTCCATGTATTAAGTTGTTTGTGATATAATCGTTGAGCGTTTGCGACTGATTGGTATAGATTGATGGAAAGTGAGTTAAGATTTGGGCCGATTGTATGATCGATTGATCGACAGCTTGGGACTGCTGGGAAAAATCCCATGTGTAGTAAACTCATGCGTATTACATGTAGCAATTTTACTACAACAGTTGTGTATTCGGTATTTCTTTAAGGTGAATTAAGAGGACACATTATTATTCATTTTCATTTTTTAATAAAATAGTGATGAGTATTCAAATAAGTATTTAAAATATTGAAAAGACTAATAAAGAACGTCATTATGGTTAAACCACGAATGGCAAATACCGCCGAAAATGAAGAAACAAAAAATCAATAATGAATTAAATTGAATAAATAAAACGAATTAATTAATAAATCAATATAATGAAATAAAAATAATTGAATTGAATAAATAAAAAGAATTAATTAATAAATCAATAATATTAAATAAAAATATTGAAATAAAATAAATGAACATAATTACTTAAATAGAATAACTTAATACATGCAGAAGGGTATAGATGGGAAAGACAGTTTACATTTGTAGGTGATGTAGGAGGGTATAGGTGGTATAGGAAGTAAATCTGATGGTGGTATAGGAAGTAAAGGTGATGTAGGAGGATATAGTTAATAAAGCTGATGTAGGAGGGTATAGGTGGTATATGCGGTATAGGAAGTATAGGTGATGTAGGAGGGTATAGTTGGTATAGAATATAGGTGGTATAGATAGTATAAATGACGTAGGAGGGTATAGGTGGTATAGGAAGTATATGTGGAATAGGAAGAATAGATGGTGCAGGAGGGTATATATATAGGTGGTATATGAAGTAAAGGTG